ATACATACATATGAATATGTATGTAAACGCTCTATTTTCCATAATTAGCACCCTTGTTGCTTTTTATTTGTTGTTGCCAAGCCCTCGACAACAACAACAACGTCGTCATCTTCATCGTTGGGGTTTCTGTTCAATCTCTAATGCAAATTGGCTGCTGACGCGAATGTCGACGACTAAGACAAAGGAAACAGGAGTGAACGGGCCACTGCATGCCTGAGCGAGAGAGAGAGAGAGAGAGAGAGAGAGAGAGAGCGAGAGTGCGCGGCATGAACAAAGAAGCAACAGTGCCAACACAGCGCCCCAGGGAGGGGGCGGGCAACAGGGAAATGCACTTGGCCGAGGTTTCTGGCTGGCGCAATGCATTGGACCAGACAACAAAGCGTTGCCTGCTCTACAAGTGAAGCAGGGAGCGAGAGTGAGAGCGAGAGAGAGAGAGGGAGGGATAGAGCGTGAGGGAAGCCGGGTGCAAGGAGCAAGGCAATATTTGAATAAATATCAGACTTTCAATATTAATTAGCAAATGAAATTAACAAAATTGTGACAACTTTTGGCGCCTAAAACTTTAATCGAGCGCCATCCTATTTTTTGTTATTTTTTCTTTCAAAACAAACGAAACACCGCACAGACAAAAACAAATAAAAACGCACGCAGCACTCACACACACAAGCACGCAAAAAAAAGAAGAAAAAAAAAAAACAATAAGCAGCCGAAAAATTAAGTGAGTTCAGTGAACCAAACAATGAACCAGTGTGAATGTGAAAAGGAAGCTGAGAGAGTTCTTTGGCACCAACTCGCTTACGTTTTGATTTCTATTAATTTTTGTATATTTTTTATATGTATATACATATACATATGCGTATATATATACTTTTTTTTGTCTTTAGCTTTTTGCTGTTTTGCCACTTCACTTTTATTTTGCAATCAAAAAGCAAAGCGCGCTATGCGAAATGTAACGAACGACTGACGGGCAGCGCCGCTGCTGCGTTCCACTGTTGCTGGCTGTCGTCGGTAGCAGCGACGATGGCAGCAGCAGCAGCAGCAGCAGCGCCAGCAGCAGCAACAGCCAGCAGCCGCGCAACCCAGCAACAAACAAAGAAGAAAAGAAAAGGCAACAAAAGCGGCATACAGGTGGCAGTGACGAGTGCAGCGCAAAGTAACGCAACAAGCAGCGCCTCAATTGCAAAATGGACAAATAAGAACAGCAATAAATATGCATATACACTTGCTCGCAGAACTCTGCGTACACTTGCAAACAAACCCCTATTTCTATGTTTACATGTATATTGTATTTAATATAGAAGACTTAAKGCAATACTTCTTTTTGTATAACAATTTTCATTTATTTATTAACATAATTATGTTTTCATTTTATTATTAAAACTAAACCTAATATTGAAAAAAATTATAAACAAAACACATTACCAAAAAATGACACCTCAAAAGTCTGCGTACATTTTAAGTTTGCTGCGTACAGCGCTGGAATTCACGATCACCGTTAGTTTTTGCATGTTTCTTTAATTCCTCTTCGCTCATTTGCGTAATTTGCTATCACTTTGAAAAGAAATTTGGCACGCGTTTCATCATNAAAAACTAACGGTGATCGTGAATTCCAGCGCTGTACGCAGCAAACTTAAAATGTACGCAGACTTTTGAGGTGTCATTTTTTGGTAATGTGTTTTGTTTATAATTTTTTTCAATATTAGGTTTAGTTTTAATAATAAAATGAAAACATAATTATGTTAATAAATAAATGAAAATTGTTATACAAAAAGAAGTATTGCCTTAAGTCTTCTATATTAAATACAATATWCATGTAAACATAGAAATAGGGGTTTGTTTGCAAGTGTACGCAGAGTTCTGCGAGCAAGTGTATGTGTACCACACATACGCACATGCACATACATACATACATACATACTTGTACATACGCATATTAAATGCAATCAACAAAAATCTTGATCAAACTAAATCTCAACTGCTTTATGCACTTACTTAGTTCACAATAATAATAACGCATGTCCCGCTATATGTGTGCATGTATGTACATATGTATGCATGTGTGCGTGCGTATGTGAATGTGCAAGGTGAATGCAAAAGTCTATATGCACGGCGCACCAATTACCGTTAGAAATGTTAACCCAATATTCTTGTTATTGCTCTGCCTGATTTTCTTGTTGTTGTTACTGTTGTTGTCGTTCGGTGCCTAAGTGTGGGCACATAAAACCGGAGAGCCATGACACAGCTACAGCCGCGGCGTACGAATTGCCACCATCGAGCATGCGTGCCACACTCACCGTCATAAAAGTAAGTACACATACACATACACATACATACTACATATTTCTGGAAGACAGTGTTTACTAAATATACTTGAACGAAGCAACAATAAATAAATTTTGTTTATACATGCATACATATATATAAACAAATAAAGAGTTATTGAATATATACAAATCATTTTAGCTCTATCTATCATATCGTATCATATAATATTTTCCTTGTATAAAGTAAACTAATAAACAAAATAATAGAATAGGCTATACAATGAATTTTAGGTTTCAATATTTAGTGAAAGGTACCTTTAAGTCCAACCAGATTCCATTAAACTCATCCCAAATATAAATACATATGTACCCATACTGATCTACTCCATCTTCATAAACGCCTTTAGCTGGCACAATAGTTATGAGCTTCACTGTAATTTTATACAATGTGCCGACTAACGGTAAGAACATCGTTGTCAGTTGCCGTGTTGTATATATATGTAAGTGTGTATGTGTGTGTGTGTATTTGTATCTTTCTCTGCTCAGTTGCTGTCGGCTTCAGTATGCGTCGTCGAGCTGACTACTGCTGGCTTATGGTACCGCCGTCTAACATGACTTTGCGCCAATCCCCCATCTCTCACGTCCGCCGGCCGATGCTGCTGCTGCTGCTGCAAGTGACTCTGGCGATCTACAGCTTAGTGCAACTGATTCAGAAACTAATTCAGCATGTTCTTATTCTATTAACAATACGCATTTACAGTTATATGTGCACAAAACGAAAAGCAACAATTTTAAACACTCATCCTCAATCATGGTACTCATTTCTTATCGTTGTTGTTGTTGTTGTTGTAACTCAACCGTTGTGATTTCATTTTTTTCTTTTATTATTTCGCGCGCCTTTCACGTCAATAGAACTTTTGCGTCGTGTTTTTATACCCTACAAGCTGGGCAAAATAAACAGGTAGCTCTGACCACATACATGTGTATGTATGTACATGAATATACAAACTTGATTAAGTTGAGCCACATTGATCTCTATGTCAATGTAATCGGCAATTAATTTTTGTATTACTCAATCCACAATATAATGTTTTTCAAATACATTATTTGCCACCGCACTTTATCACTCTCTTTCTTACATACAAAAAGAGGAAAGCCCAACGGAGCAACAACACAACGAAAATACCCCACGCATCACTCACTCACTCACACACACACACACACACACAGCGCTCACTGAGCAGCTGATGGCGATGTTGTGATTGTATTGTGATTTCGTGGTGTCTTTCTTTTTAGCTGAGGTCAATATCGTCAGTGGCAACGGAGCAAATAGAAATATGAATAACTGTTTATGAGAAGTATACGGAAAGGAAAAAAAAAACAACAAATAAATAAAGACGCAAAAAATGCGCACTGCTTTTGTGTAAAAGAGACGACATAGGGTACTATCACAAAATGCGAATATAAAAACAGAAAACATCCAACAGCTGATGAAACAAAAATAATAATCTTATCAGACCGCAAAAGAAAATAACAACACAAAATTTATTGCGTTGCGACGCTAGCGACGCAGTCGGCGAAAAATGCCAACAAGCGAGCCAGTGCGCGAGAGCAAGCAAGTGCTAAGGTAAAACGAGATAGAGAGAAAGCGTAAACAAAAATACAGCGCAGAAACAGCTGTGTCTGTGGTGGCGTTACCGACGCCTCGGCATACACATGCGCAATACACAGCTGCTCTCTGTATACATATGTGTGTATATGTTCGTATGGTTCAATACTCAAACACAACAAACAAAACCACAGCGACAACGAAGTGGTCCTTGGCTTTTTAAGAACAGCTGAGACTAGAGAAAACAGCGGAGCCAACTGGCTGGCCGCGAAAGAGAGATCAGATGAATGAACTTTCATAACGAAGTTCTCGCTCACACTTGCCAATGTTTATCGCACTTCGGAGTTGCTAAAAGACGCAATTTGTTTAGCACCAGCAGCAGTGTCCCTCTCCCTCTCCATATCCCCCAACACTCACTAATAACATACATGCACTCATTATCTACATATACACTCATAGGTTCCTTTACGTGTATGCAAGGAGACGTGAATATACAATAAATGATGGCAGAATTCTTGTTTGGGCCAATTTTTTTTGCATACGCAGCAAACTGCGTTGCAGTGCTTACATCGATGTTTTGTTGTTTTTACTGCAGCGCCTATGTGTGTGTGACTTGCCCTCTCTCTGTGCCTATTGGAAGTAGAAGAGAGCACAACAAAGCTAATGCATGTGAATACATAATAATTTGGTCTTTCGCTAAACGCATACCTATCTATGTACATATTTAGATTGTTGGCGATATATATTCATATGTATGTTTGTATATACTACAAATGTAAATAGACGGGAATCATGTTCGGGCAATTATACAAAAAAAAAAAAAAAAAAAAAGAGAATAAACAACAACAAATGTCAAATTTTTGGGCACGCAAAAGCGTATGAGAACTTACGGTTCTGTTGCAGTTGCAGTTGCAGTTTTCTTGTGTGTGTTTATTGTTTTGTGCCATACACAGACACGCGCGCATACACACACGCACACACACCAAACAATCAAGCACAAACATACACACACACGCACGCACACAAACAAATCGGAGCAACAACGACCCACTGAGTAAATGACACTTGATTGTGGTTCTTTACACCGTTTGCATAATACTAATGCAACACTTTTGCATTATTAAAATTTCTATGAATTTATTGAACCGAATACAATATTTGTTTGCGTTCGCTCATTTTGCGTGCTTTTCTGCTGTGGGGGCGCTGGTGTGTTTGTGATTGTGTGGGGAATTTTTAACAGACCTCAATTATTTTTAGCACTCTGGCCACACTACACATCAGACACACACCACACATACCACAAAATATCGATACTATCGATAAGCAGTAATCGGAATTGCCCAAAAAGAAGTTGCTACTGCTGCTGCACAAAAAGAAAAGCACACAATTCTCACACAGCATATATATATAGAGTAGCACGCGCCTAACTCACAAGTCCCTGGCGTGTAAGTAATCAAAAACGGAATTATTAAAAATTGTTACCATTTTGTTTAGTGTGTGTGCGCGTGTGTGTGAGTGCGTTTGCAAGGCAAACAATTGTTTCAAAACGGTTGACAGGCGGCGCTGGCCCAGTGCAATAGGCTTTGTGTGTGAGGTAAGCATTAATAAATGTGCAAATCCCAAGGCCCCTTGGTCAGATAATAAATAATTATGTACATAGTGGTGATATATTGATATGCATTGCCAATCGAAAGCAATTGCCCAATTGCAGAAAAGGACAGCAACACATTGGCAAAGTACAAGAAATCGTTTGTGAAATTTCAACAAATCAATTGTTTTATTTTTGTTTTCCTACTTCAAATTGTTATTGCAATGCAATCTGAAATACAGGAGATTGCAGCAAATTGCCACAGACACAAAGCTTGCATTATTGTTGTAAATGAATCACCCACAAATACAATTCGCATTTATCTACATTCATGCTAAATTGGAGCTCGGGGACCCTGAAATCGTCAATGCAGCCAAAAACAAATTGATTTAAGGCTAAAAAAAAGATAACTCGAGGTAAAGAAAAAATAATAGCTAGACTTATAACCGGTCAGATTATGGGCAAGCTAAATTTATAAACTAAATAAATTTAAAATTTCAAAAAAATATTTTTATTTGTTATTAAAGTCTTAAACAGTAAATTACATTAAATCTAAAAAAAAGCGATTTCAACGCAGCCAAAACAAACTGATTTAAGGCTAAAAAAAACTCGAGACCAAACATGAAGAAATAGCTAGATTTATAGCCGGCCAGATTATGGGCTTTAAAAAAAGCTTAATTTATAAACTAAATAATAAAAATAAAAATAGTTGTAAATTTACTATTTCTGCAAATAAACAAACAAAATTATTGACAGTTAAGTCATATAAAATCAATATAAATAAAGCCAAAACCAACTCATGAAGGCTAAAAACAGCCAAATCTTCGCATTTTCAAATAGCTTAGCTTAATGTGTATAAATTTATAACGCCTTACGCTTCATTGGTTTCCAATTAGCAAGTGGATATGTTCAATGTAAGATTTATATAAATTTTTGTTTTTTTTTGTTCGTTGAAGGTAATTTTAATTCTCTGATTTGCCCAGTAAATTGACCTCGTATCAATGCACAAGCAATAGCGCAATATTTCTGTAGATATCTTCAAGCTCGAAATTGATTTCAGAGTGCATGATATATATTCAGATATATATCTGAATAACAATTTCAGTCTATTGACCTCTGTAGATATCTTCAAAATATTTGATTTCTTTGCTCGCTAGCAAAATAAAACAATGGAACTTGAAAATGTTTTTTCTTTACTTGAGTAATTTAACTTATTAAATAAATAGATCTATATGTATATGTATAGGAACTCCCAATATAGAACTAGATTTCTTTTTAAAGTTTACTCACCTTTGTTGTATCCACACAAGTGTTTTCAGGTTCAATGGAATGTAAACGCTTATATTGACTTTATAAGAAGTAAAATATATAAATGCTAAGTCTGTTGGTATGAAAACAAGTTTTTCTGGTATCCCAAAGACTTTATGGTATGTGTATCAATATGTTTTCCTGGTATGAGCCTATTATATCTGTATTAGTAATTTTCTGGAATACCTATTGTATATATTTATATGGTTTTCCAAGAGTTATTGGGTGGGAAGTCAAATTTCCTGGTATGACACTGTATTAATCATTTTCTGGTATACCTAAGAGTCTATTAGATATATTTTGTATGGTTTTCCAAGACCTTTTGGGGGAAATTCAAATTTCCTGGTATGACTATCATATCTGTATTCATATTTTTCTGGTATACCGAATTTTCTATTATATATGTTATTTATACGGATTTCCAAGGGATTTTGAGTGGGAATTAGGAGTACTATTCTGGCTTATCAAAACTCTACATAATTTCCGATTTTTATCTTCCTTGATACCTGAGTTTACATGTGTTAGCTCTATGCTGATTTCTGATTCCTTTCTTTTCGGATCAAAGTATGCTGCGAAGTTGATGTGAGTTAGGTCTTTACTGATTTCTGTTCGTTCAATTAAGACGAACATAGATAATGTAAATAAAATATATATAGTTTTATAAGGGTACTAAAATTTGTTTCTCAGAGTTTACTAGATATACAAGAAACCTTAAACCGATCAATGGACTTTGTTTTTTTTTTTTTTTTTTTGCCATCTTTACTGGTTAATTTGAAAATTCAGTTGCTTTACTAATCCATCTATTCTCATCATCAGTGAGCTCGCAACCGTGGTAGCATGCTGTGGACGGTGCATCTGGACGGCGGGCCGCAGCGGGTGAATCATGCCGCCGTTGGCGTTGGGGACTTCATCTATAGCTTTGGGGGCTATTGCACCGGCGACGATTATCGCTTCAATGAGCCGATCGATGTCCATGTGCTGAACGTGCACTCGCTGCGCTGGACTCTGGTGCCGCAGCAATGCGATTCGGATGGGGATCCGTTGAAGTATCCGCTGGTGCCGTTCCAGCGATATGGCCACACTGTTGTCGCCTACAAGGAGCGCATCTACATCTGGGGCGGCCGCAATGATGAGCATCTCTGCAATGTGCTCTATTGCTTCGATCCAAAGACGGCGCGCTGGACTCGTCCGACGGTCAGCGGCTGCCTGCCGGGCGCTCGGGATGGCCACTCGGCGTGCGTCATTGGCCATTGCATGTACATCTTCGGGGGATTTGTGGACGAGATCAATGAGTTCAGCAGCGATGTGCATGCGCTCAATCTGGACACAATGGAATGGCGCTATGTGCAAACGTTCGGCGTGCCGCCGACCTATCGGGATTTTCATGCCGCCGTTGCTTACGAGGAGGAACGGATGTATATCTTTGGGGGGCGTGGCGACAAGCACAGCCCATACCACAGCCAGGAGGAGACCTACTGCCATGAGATTGTCTACCTGGACATGAAGACGAAGGTGTGGCATCGCCCCTTCACCGCCGGCAAAGTGCCCGTGGGACGACGCAGCCACAGCATGTTCGTGCACAATAAACTGATCTTCGTGTTTGGCGGCTACAATGGACTATTGGATCAGCACTTTAACGATCTGTACACCTTTGATCCGCGCACCAAATTGTGGAATCTGGTGCGCGCCAACGGACAGGCGCCAACGGCTCGACGACGCCAGTGCGCCATTGTCATGGGCACGCGCATGTTCCTCTTTGGCGGCACAAGTCCGCGCTGCGCCATACCGCAGGCACCGACGGCGGTGTCGCGTGCCAATGATTCGACACAGCCAACACAGCAGCAGCAGCAGCAGCAGCCGCAGCAAGAACAACAGCAACAGCAGCAGCCGGCAGCAGCAGCAGCAGCAGCAGCGGCGGCAGCAGCAGCAGCCGCAGCAGCAGCAACAACCACATTGATCGACTACAGTGATTTGCATGTGCTAGACTTTGAGCCCACACTGAAGACGCTAGCCACAATGGTGGTGCTGAAGCATCAATTGGACATCTCGGGCCTGCCGCGGAGCTTCCGTGCGGACCTGAACATGCTCACACAGCCGAACAGTATTACGCGGCCGATCAACCAGGCGGGCTAGCATTTATTGTTATTGTTACCGTTACGACTGTTGTGCACATCTAACACTAAACCACTCTAAGCACATAGTTAATACTATATATATATACATGTATGTACACACAGTTGGGTTGCTGCAGCCAGCTGCGAGGCTTCCTGGCCACTCGGAGAGAAATATTTAGCTTAACTTAAACACACACGCTTCTGAACAAAACGCTTGCAGAGAGGCGGATTGCACTAGTCCCAGTAGTCGTCGAGCAATCCAACCGATCTCTTCCGAATGTGCTCGAAATATCGAAATGACACCACACACACACACACACACACACACACAGACTCATACGCACACACACTCACATATGTAAACCAACGAAGTTTCAGAAACTTGCTTGGACAAACAATTAAATAGTTAGCTTTAGTTTGTAAAATGTTTATATATAATTACCTTAAATAAATTTCGCATATTATTATTAAACAAAAAACAGAAAAGCAATTGTATTATGTATAATATCGCCAAATCATCTCGATCTGAGCTACAATCCCAAAATTTGACTTTCACTTTTAAAGGGAATGAAAGCGGTAATACCTATATTTCTCATCTCTCATCTATCTTTCTCTTTCTCTGCCTTACTCAACGGAGGCCAAACGCTATCTCTTTCTGCTTTGTCCAACTGAGCTCGTATGCTTTCTCAGTCTTACTTAAATAAACTCATATGATATCGCACCCAACGGCTATCTACCTCTCTTTGTCTTAGCCATAGAGCTTCCTCCGTCCTACTCAAATGAGCTCATGCGATCTCCTTTCATTCATTTCACCCAAATGAGCTCATATGCTATCTCTCTCTATTCGTTTCACTCAACTGAGCTCACATGCTATCCACCTCTATCTCTCTTACCCAACTGAGCTCATACGCTCTCCCGCTCTCTGTCTTACCCAAACGATCTCACATGTTTTCTCTCTGTCCGTCTTACCCAACTGAGCTCTTATGCTATCTCCCTCTGTCTGTCTTATCTATCATCTCTATATATTCAACATTCCTTCTCTATCTCGCTCCGCTTTATATTTTCTCTTAAATATTTTATTGGCATTTAAAAAATATATAGAAATAATAATAACATAAATTTATGATTGACAAAACTTAATTTAATTTATATATGTATGTAAGTAGTTAAGAAACTACAACAAATTAGCTTTTTTCCTCTCTCCTATCGATCATGTAAAACTAGCTTTTTTCATTTAGCTCTAAAGTTGGCATCACTGCTGCTGCTAACCGACGGCGCTCGTGAAGCCACGCAACGTCAGGTAGCCGTTGATGATGTCCGATGGCAATTGCTGCATTGAGCCGTACTCCTCGGCATTGGCGAAGCGCAGTTTGGAATGGGGATCAACATATGGCGCTGGCAGCCCACTAATATCCGAGTATTTCTTGGGTGGTATGAGCGAGGGCGGCGCATTGAGCGTGAAGTCTGCGAAGTGAACCAGAAAACATTACAACAAATTCGACCATCAACGTTCAGACTTTGCATATTTACATGTCGGCTGGTCGGGCGGCAGCTTCTGATTCCGTTCAATGTTGTGAAGCTGTCGCAGTGGCCGGTAAACGCAGTTTCTGGGAAATATAAATGGACGCTTAAACGAGCGTTTGACCTTCTGCACCGAAGTTGTTTCCATTTTCTTTAATTTTGTCTGCAAATGCACGAAGAATAACAAAATTGTGTTTTGGCTTGAGGTATCGATGCCGCAATAAGCGATGTATCGATAAGTGCTTAACAACGACTGCGATAGACGGACGGGCATATTTAAATAGGCTCAGAATGTTCGTGGCGGTTCTAGTTCATAAATGTATTGGGATTTAGGAACAATGTAGATAGATATTTGTATTGATTTGCTTAAAATAAATTTTATTTTAATTAACATATCTTACAAATTTAATTCAACAGCTTGCCTTTGCCAGCACTTGGAGCTCGTCAAGTGAACTAGTTCGTCATCTGAGCCTTGACAGCGGCTGTGATAGATAAGATAAGATTTTTAGGCAGGCTCTGATATTTACTGTGATTCGCTTTAAAATGAGTTTGAGCTAAAATGGTATACTAATTTAATTTAATCAATCAATTTGACTTGCTTGCTGGAGTCTAAATACTTGGCACATCATCAAGTGAACTAATTTTGAACCTGAGCGGAACAGCGCATTTCTAACAGCTATTCGTTCCGATTGTCCACTATTGTTGTATACGTGTTTAAGAACTGAAATCAACTGTAATTTTGCACCTTGGTCGACTGACGTTAAGGCTACTTAAGGATGGCGCGCAATGCAGGCGGCAACAACAACAATACAGCCAAATCAAGCGCTACGGGCAATCATCAGGGCACAGCCGCCGGTACATCCTCCGCTGCAGCAGCGGCGGCGGCTGCGGCAGCCGCAGCGAGCGCCAAGCACAAGCGCAGCAGCAGCAGCAACAGAAATTACAATTTCAATTTATCCTCAAAGCTGATGCTGGACAAGTGGAAGACGCTCGTCGGCTGCCTCTCGTTGGCCGTGGCCAGCTACTTTGGCTACCTGGGGTACCTGGAGACGCGCGTGAATACGCCGTTCGACAACCACAAAATGGTCTCGGCCAGCGGCCTGGACGATCCGGAGCGCTACTGGGGCTCGTATCGCCCGCATACGTACTTCGGCATGAAGACACGCGATCCCCACTCCCTGGTTATGGGTCTGATGTGGTACACGCCCAGCAATCTGGGACCCGATGGGCATGGGATTAGGCACTGGTGCGAGCAGGGCGACAATTTGGATGGCTATGGCTGGACGCATCATGATGGGCGCAGCTTCGGGCTGCAGGAGATACAGGATCTGCCCTTTGAGATCAAGACGTCGTTCGTCAAGTTTCCCGGCGAGAAGCAGTACGGCGGCGATTGGACGGCCCGGATCTCGGTGCGGAATACGACGCGTGCCTGGGACCGGAGCATCTCGCTCATCTGGTACGTGGCGCTGGACGAGCGCACCAATGGCCACATCAAGTACGTTTCCGACGAGAAAAGTCCGGAGCCCGGCGTCTATGGCGAGAGTCAAGGATTGGGCGAGTTCCAAGTGCGCTTCCATGCGGTCAAGGGGCGCATTCAGCACAAGTCCTATCTAAGCACCGTGGCGCCGAATCTGAGCAAGCTCAAAGAGACCATATTCGCCCACTTTCGCGCCTTTCCCAGCAAGCGTGGCAATCGATTCATTGGCCTTCCCGGCGAGATTGTCTCCCAAAACGGCGTGCCGTCAACGAATCCCGAACCGAATCTGATTGCCATCCAGATTACGGCCGAGGTGGACTTCACGCTGGACATTACGTACCAGTCGACGTCGGGCTTTGCCCTCGGCGAATCCATACCGAAGCCGCCCACGGGACGCGCCTACACGGATGCACTGCAGGCAAAGATTGGCGAATTCGACAAGCGCTTCGAGGCAACCTTTCAGCTGGCCGCCAAGGGCTATGCGCCGGATATGATACGCTTCGCACGCAACGCATTCAGCAATATGATCGGCGGCATTGGGTACTTCTATGGCGCCAGCCGGGTGCAGTCTGTGCACACCCAGAATCCGGTGCCGTATTGGAAGGCGCCGCTGTATACGGCCGTGCCGTCGCGCAGCTTCTTTCCGCGCGGCTTCCTCTGGGACGAGGGCTTCCACGGCCTGTTGCTCAGCGCCTGGGACATTGACATTGAGCTGGACATCATCTGTCATTGGTTCGATCTGCTCAATGTGGAGGGCTGGATACCCAGGGAGCAAATCCTGGGCGTCGAAGCTCTGGCCAAGGTGCCCGAAGAGTTTGTGACGCAGCGCAACAGCAACGCCAATCCGCCAACGTTCTTCCTCACGCTGCACAAGCTCCTCACCCAGCACAAGGCACAGCTGTCCCAAAAGGGACGCTTCGCCACCCTGGAGCGGCTCTATCCGAGGCTGCAGGCCTGGTTCAACTGGTACAACACCACGCAGCGCGGTAAATCTCTCCCTCTCTCTCTCTCTCTCAGTCACACTCACTCTTTGTCTCCTTTATTGCCTCGCCATTTCACTCACTTCTCTCCCCTTGCAGGTGAAATCCTTGGCACCTACTTGTGGCAGGGACGCAATGCGAGCACCGTGCGCGAGCTGAATCCCAAGAGCTTGTCCTCCGGCCTGGACGACTATCCACGCGCCTCGCACCCCACCATGCGCGAGCGTCACGTGGATCTGCGCTGCTGGATTGCCCTGGCCGCCGGCGTCATGGCCGAGCTGTCCACGTTGCTGGGCAAGAACGATGTCAAGTACTACGAGACGTTGTCGTATCTGACGGACAACGAACGGCTCAATCGACTGCATCTGGATCCGTACAGTGAGCACTATGCCGACTGGGGCCTGCACACCGATTCGGTGACATTGAAACGTCCGCCGGTGTTGACGCCACAGCGCACGGCGGGACAACGCGGCGCTGGTGGCGCCCCACAGGTGCAGCAGGAGATGCGTCGCTATGTCTCCAAGCAGCCGGACTACAAGTTCGTCGACAATATGTTCGGCTATGTGAGTCTGTTTCCCATGCTGCTGGAGCAGCTCGACCATGATTCGCCCTATCTGGGCAAGATGCTGAAAGATATGCGCGATCCGGAGCTGCTCTGGACCAACTATGGACTGCGTTCGCTGGCCAAGAATTCGCCCATGTATATGAAGCGGAATACGGAACATGATCCGCCCTATTGGCGCGGTCCCATCTGGATCAACATCAATTACTTGGCCGTCAAGGCGTTGCGGCATTACGGCCAGGCCGACGGACCCTACGCCGACCTGGCGCGCAAGATCTACGGCGAACTGCGCGAGAATCTGGTGAAGAACGTCTTCCGGCAGTATCAGCGCAGCGGCTACATCTGGGAGCAGTACGACGATAGCACAGGCGAGGGCAAGGGCTGCAGGCCGTTCACCGGCTGGAGCGGACTCGTCGTCCTGCTCATGGCCGAGCAATACTAAAGAGGCCATTATCTATCGGTTGCTACGAGTTCCTCCTGTGATAAACTCACGAAAACAAAACAAGAGAGAGAGAGAGAGAGAGAGAAGAAACAGAGAGAGAG